CCCCCCCCCCCCCACGCAAATTGTTTTATTTTGTCAGTTTTAAAGATATTTATGTTTTTTTTAGACAAAGCCATCGGATTTGTGGACAAAAAAATTCCCGGATGTATGATGTAAACCAGTGGTTCCCCAAACTTTTCAACTAGAGGGACGTATCTACTTTTTTCGGTAATGAAGCGGGCCACAACGTTATACCATTATAACTTGTTATCAGTACATTATAGTAAATGGAGAAGCCTCGCGTGTTACTTTCTGAGCGCTGACATGCCAAAAGTGTCCCGCGGGCCGAGGTTTGGAAACCCCTGTTGTAGACAATTGTTTTATTGTCCAGAGATCTTATCTCGCCCCTAACTTCCCCCCCCCCGCACCCCAGATGCTGCTCCCCCCCCCCACCAACCCGTCATCAACGCCGCTACCGTCAACAAAACAAAATACTCCGTTATGATTTGATATCTCCAACGGCAACAGCTTGTGATACTCCCCTACCACCGAAAAAACCTCCTACCTCTCCTAGCCCCTTCCCATAACCCAAACTGCCTGGTTAAGTCTTTAAGCTCACATTGATCAGTACAGCAGGATTTCGTGCATCTAATGTGATGCATGTATTTATTGTTTGTATTCAGATGTGGATCAAGAATAATGGGAAATTAAGTTTAAATTAAAAAAATAATAATAATAATAATAAAGCGGGAGATGTCGGTGCTGTCTGCCTGGGAATAAAGCAACTAAGATTTTTAGAAATGAAAATCTGATATCAATCTCATAATTTTTTTATACTCCCAATATTTTATAAGAAAAAAAGGTCTCAAGGAAACGCAAAAATACTCATAACCCCAAGCAATGTTCCCTCCAAGGTTCGTTGGTTCGTGGGCACAATCATACAGACGACAGACACAAACACACACTGGAAGTGAAAATTAGCTGCGTGGTACTCAAAACTGCTGCGTGGCGTCTGTGAAATCGGCCGCGCAGCTTAAAGGGAACATTGACCTCAACCCCCCCCCCCCCCCCCCCCCACAACAAAATAGGGGGTGTGGGGGGGGGGGGTGCAAACCATGACGTTATTAATGAACGAGCCCTAACTTAATCCATTTCTGCCGCTTACATACTTCTTTGCCCGAGACTTCATGCATTTGTTATTTTTATGTTCCTTTCTAAAAATTTGATTAGTTATAAAAATTGATAGAATGTGTTCATTGAACCATCATAGATTAAATCTCGTCTACATCATGAGTTGAAGCCATAGTGAAATGTGGAGTCGTGCCAACCGTGCGGGGTTCCCATAAGCGACCACTATTTGTTCATTTTGTTCCCTTAAGCGACCACTATTTGTTCATTTTGTTCCCATAAGTGACCACTATTAGTTCATTTTGTTCCCATAAGCGACCACTATTAGTTCATTTTGTTCCCATAAGTGACCACTATTTGTTCATTTTGTTCCCATAAGCGACCATTGTTAGTTCATTTTGTTCCCATAAGTGACCACTATTAGTTCATTTTGTTCCCATAAGCGACCACTATTTGTTCATTTTGTTCCCATAAGCGACCACTATTAGTTCATTTTGTTCCCATAAGCGACCACTATTTGTTCATTTTGTTCCAATAAGCGACCACTATTTGTTCATTTTGTTCCAATAAGCGACCACTATTTGTTCATTTTGTTCCAATAAGCGACCACTATTTGTTCATTTTGTTCCAATAAGCGACCACTATTTGTTCATTTTGTCTGTCTTTTTAGATTTGCCGTCGAAGGCTTGATACACCAAGAAAGTCTTCGCCGCCACGATGTCCACTCTTTTTTTGTATTGCCCATCTTCAGGTTTCCCGCACTACATTGTGTAGCCTGTATTTCCTAATCCTAATAA